TGTGTGTGTGTGTGTGTGTGTGTGTGTGTGTGTGTGTGTGTGTGTGTGTGTTGATAACACTGTTGTATGAATCCCAGCTGCTGGTAGAAATCTACTATTCAAGAAAAGTTTCTTCATGAGTCATTATTAGGATTCTCTGGCTTTAACGCAAGGCCTAAGGAAAAGGACAGAGCTTGAGGATATAGGAATCCTTTTCTGATTTCTATTCTAAAACATCACATTTACCTTTAGATCCAGGCAGACAAAAACACTATTAGCAGCTGAGACACCAGAAAGAGCCAATGGGGCAGCCTTGACTCTCACTTCTTCTTCCCTGGGTGGTTTATGTCATGGCTTGAATCACTGTGTGTGGAGTACTCCAAACTTATTGACAGTAATAAATTGCAGCATCTTCAGGCTGCAGGCTGCTGATCTTGAGAGAAAACTTTGTGCAAGATCCACTGCCACTGAACCTTGATGGGACCCCATCTGCCAAGCTGGCTGCATCATAGATCAGAAGATTAGGACTTCCCTCTTGTTTCTGCTGATACCATGCTAAATTCCCATAAATTTTCTGGCTTGCCAGGCATGTGATGGTGACAGTTTCTCCCATAGATGCAGACAGGGGGGATGGAGACTGGGTCATCTGGATGTCACATCTAGCAACTGAGATTTGAAAATTGAAAACAAATCCCCACAATCAAATCTGTTAGATGAGGACTTTCCCAGAGACCAGTCAGCCCTGGTCACACTCAGCTGAATGAATTTCCAATGTTGTCATACTTACCTACAAACCAGAGCAACAGCAACACCAGGAGCTGAGTGGGGGCCATCATATCTGTGCTGTTACCTGTGTGAGGCTGACTACAGCACAGGATATGACCTGACAATGAAGAAATCCTCAGGGCAGTGGGCTGTGCTCTTGGCATATGCTAATTGCAAGCTGTTGACTAAAAATCATAGGAGTGTCAAAGACACATTACTGATTTGTGGTGGTCCTCTTATGTCGAAGATCAGAAAGCAATATAGTTTTATCAGTAGGGAATGCATTCCTTTTTTAAAAACAAATAACAACACCGGTCTATGAGTTGGACATTTTTTGATTACTGTCATGTTTAATGTAGGATTTCCTTGTTATATGTCCCTCTCTCGATGGAATTATCCAATATGATACAGTTAGGGACAGTACATAAATTATTACCTTGTCCTTTCATGGGTAGGTGTAGATGTTATTGAGGCCATGGATATTTTTCTGATATTTTTTGTTTCTTTGTGAGGCTGAATTTTAATTATAAAATATCTCCTTTGTCATTCCTCCTTTCATATCTGCCCAAATATGGATCCCTGCTCTTTCTCTAATTCATAGATTATTTTTTCATTAATTGTTTTTGTATGCACATATCTGTTTAGGTATTACTACTGAATATTACCTATTGAATCTGTATAATGTGACTTGTAGGTATGTTTTCAGGCTTGATCATTTGATACTTGCCAACCAATTGTGTGCTCTTCCCTGTGGAGTAAGACCTCTTGCTTTACCAGTTATCTCTAGTTCTTTTGTACAATTGAGGCCTCATGGGCTTTTCCTTATCCACTTTGCTATGGTTGTTGGTATCCTTCCTGTTCAGCTTATATTTGAGCTGTAATGTTAGTGAGATTTTCTGTGTGTAGCTTCCGTTGTTACTAGAAAAAACAATCTTACAGCAAACTCCCTGGAACTCTGGCTCTGTCAATCTTTCTACCCCATTTCATAAATTCTTCCTGAGCCTTGATTATTGGAGACTGTTGTGGATGTATCCATTGGGGCAAAGCTCCACAATTCATAATGCAGCATCTTGCTCAACTCTCCCTCAGAAAAATAATAAAATAATACTGGAATACATGGTTTGTAAGAAAGGGAAGAATCTAATATAACTAGCCTATCTTTTCAAGCAAACAATTGTGTTTTACTCTATTTGTCATAACTCAGCTACACAACATCTACTACTTCCTATGACAGAAAAGGTTGTTGGTTTTTCCCCTTGCATCTGTGCACATGAGCTCTTTTCCTAAAGAAGCCCAGATTTATATCCATGTCCAATGATTCTGTGAGGCTTCAAATTAAGGTACCAGACTTCAAACACCTCTTTTTTCTGCAGATTTTTTTATTGGAATTAGAAACAAGATTGTTTTACACGACAATCCCAGTTCCCTCTCTCTCCTCTCTTCCCCTACCACCCTCCCCCAACTAAAACCCTACCTATCACATATCCTTTCCACTCCCATGGATGGTGAGGCTTTCCAGAGGGTGTCATCAGGGTCTATTGTATCCTTTGGGATAGGGTCTAGGCCTACCCCCATGTATTTGGCTCAGGGAGTATTACTCAATGTGGAATGCACTCCCAAAGTCCACACCTATGCTAGGGATAAGTAGTGAACTACTCTTTTTTTCTGTTTGTTTGTTTTGTTTTGGCTATCCTGGGTCTTTCTTTTAGTTTTCCATATAAAGTTGATTATTCTTCTTTTGAGGTCTGTGAAGAAATATGAAGGTATTTTGATAGGGATTGCATTGTATCTGTAGATTGCTTTAGACAAGATTACCATTATTTTTATTATGTTGATCCTACCTATCCATGAGCATGGGAATGGGAAATCTTTCCATTTTCTTATAACTTCTTTCATTTCTTTCTTTTTTATTTGAATTAGAAACAAGAATATTTTTCATGTCAATCCCAGTTCCCTTTCCCTCCACTCCTCCCTTGCCACAACCCCCAAATAATGACCTACCTATCACATATCCTTTCTGCTCCACATGCCGGGTGAAGCCTTCCATAGGGGGCCATTTAATTCTATTATATACTTGGGATGGGGCCTAGGCCTACCCTGGTGTGTCTTGGCTCAGGGAGTATCCCTGTATGTGGATTGGGCTCCCAATGTCCACTCCTATGCTAGGGATAATAGTGAACTACTACAGGAGGTCACATAGATTTCTGAGGTCTCCTCACTAAAACCCATGTTCCTGGAGTCTGGATCAGTCCCAGGCTGGTATCCCAGCCATCAGTCTGGGGTCCAAGAGCTCCCTGTTTTTTAGGTCAGCTGTTTCTGTGGGTTTCACCTGCTTGGTCTGGAACTATTTGCCAACACTCATTCTTCTCAGCAACTGCAGTCCAGTTCAGTTCAGTGTTTAGTTGTGGGTGAGTGCTTCTACTTCTGCCAGCTGCCGGATGCAGGCTATGGGATGGCGTAGAAGACAGTCATCAATCTGATTAGCAGGGCTGGCATTTAAGGTAGCCTCTCTTCTGTTGCTTAGATTGTTAGTTGTTGTCAACTTTGTAGACCTCCAGACCTTTCCCTAGTGTCTGATTTCTCTGAAAAAATAAATATCTCCCTCTATTATGGTATCTCCTTTCTTGTTTTCTTCTATTCTTCCCCAGACTCAACCTTTCTGCTTCCTCATGTCCTCCTCATCCCTCCTCTTCTCTCCTCATTCTCCTAGCTTCCTCTCCCCCAATATTCCTTGCTTTCAATTTTATCAGGAGATATTGTCCCTTTACCCTTCTCCAGGGGACCATGCATGTCTCTCTTAGGGTCCTCCTTGTTTACTAGCTTCTCTGGAAGTGTGGATTGTAGGCTGGTATTCCTTTACTATATGGCTAAAAACCACATATGAGTGAGTACCTACCATGTTTGTCTTTTTGTTATTAGGTTACCTTGCTCAGAATGGTTTCTTCTAGTTCCATCCATTTTCCTGCAAATTTCAAGATTCCATTTTTTTTTCTGCTGAGTAGTACTCCATTGTGTAAATGTACCACATTTTCTCTATCCATTCTTCAGTTGAGGGGCATCTAGGTTGCTTCCAGATTCTAGCTTTTACAAATAGTGCTGCTCTGAACTTAGTTGAGCAGATAGATGTCCTTGTTGTATGAATGTGCATCTTTTGGGTATATGCGTAAGACTGGAATTGCTTGATCTTATGGCATATTGATCCCCATTTTCCTGAGGAGTCACCAAAGAGATTTCTAAAGTGGTTGTATAAGTTGGCATTCCCACCAGCAGGGGAGAAGTGTTCCCCTTTCTCCACATCCTCTCCCACATAAACTATCATTGGTGTTTTTTTTTTTTATTTTAGCCATTCTGAAAGGAGTAAGATGGTATCTCAGAGTAGTTTTGATTTGCGTTTCTCTGATGGCTAAGGATGTTGTACACTTTCTTATGTGTCTTTCAGCCATTTTAGATTCCTCTATTAAAAATTGTCTATTTAGTTCTCCTCCCCACTTTTTAGGTGGATTGTTTGGTGTTTTGGAGACTATCTTCTTGAGTTCTTTGTATATTTTTGGGATCAGCCCTCTGTCAGATGTGGGGTTGGTGACTATCTTTGCCTAATCAGTGGGGCTGCCATTTTGTCTTACTGACTGTGTCATTAGCCTTAAAGAAGCTTCTCAGTTTCAGGAAGTCCCATTTATCAATTGTTCATCTTATCAATTGTTCATCTAAGTGTCTGTGCTACTGATGTAACATTCAGGAAGCAGTCTCCTGCACCAATTAAGTCAAGGGTATTTCCCAATAGCTTCTGTGTGGATGTATTTCTGTTGAGGACTTTATCCATTTGGACTTCAGTTTTGGCATGGCAATAGACACGGATATATCTTCAGTCTTCTACATTCCAGCATCCAGTTATGCCAGCACCATTTGTTGAATATAGTTTCTTTTTCCATCATATAACTTTAGCTTCTTTGTCAAAACTCAAGTGTTTGTATGTGTGTGGGTTAATATAGGGTTTTCAACTGTATTCCCTTGGCCTAGCTGTCAATTTTGTGCCAATATCAAGCTGTTTTTAGGACTCTAGGTCTATAATAGAGCTTGAAGTCAGGGATCATAATGCCTCCAGAAGTTCTGTTATTGTACAAGGTTATTTTGGCTACCCTGGGTCTTTGTTTTTCCATATAAATTCGAGAATTGCTCTTTCAAGGTCTGTGAAGAATTGTGTTGGGATTTTGATGGTGATTGCATTGAATCTATACATTGCTTTTGGCAAGATTGACATTTTTATTCTGTTGATCCTACCTATCCAAGAACATGGGAGACACTTCCATTTTCTAGTATCTTCTTTAAATTCTTTCTTTAGGGACTCAAAATTCTTATGGTACGGATCTTTCACTTTTTTTTGTTAGTGTTACCCTGAGGTATTTTATGTTGTTTGTGGCAATTGCATAGTGTGATGTTTTTCTAATTTCTTTCTCTATGAAAGTATCATCTGTAGGTAGTAGGGCTACTGATTTTTTGTGAGTTAATCTTGTATCCTGCCACTTTGCTGGAGTTGTTTATGAGCTGTTAGAGTTCCCTGGTAAAATTTTTCAGGTCTCTTATGTAGACTATGGTATCATCTGTACACAGTGACAGTTTGATTTCTTAATTTCTGATTTGTCTTGTTTTGATCTCCTTTTGTTGCCTTATTGCTCTAGCTAGAACTTCAAGGACAACATTAAAGAGGTGTGGAGAGAGTCTACAGCCTTGTCTTGTCCCCAATTTTAGAGGAATTGCATTGAGTTTCTCTCCATTTAGTTTGATGTTGGCTGTCGGCTTGCTTCTATATTGTTTTTATTATGTTAAGGTATGTTCATGTTATCCCTGATCTCTCAAGACCTTTATCATGAAGGGGGGTTGCTTTTTGTCAAAGGAGTTTTCAGCATCTTGTGAGATGTCATGTGGTTTTCTTTCCACAGCCTGTTATATGGTGTATTGCATTGATGGATTTTCGTATGTTGAATCATACTTGTATCCCTGGGATGAAGCCTACTTGATCATGGTGATTGACTTATCTGATATGTTCTTGGAATTGATTTGCCAGTATTTTATT